CAGCCTGAAGCCCGAAGCATCGAGGAGGCCTCTTCCATGGAACCACCATCAGAACCAACGGAACCAGAGACACTTCAGCCACCACAACAGGTGCCCCAGGCCCAGGTCACAGACAGGCAACCAGAACCTGTAGCCAGTGACCCGGTACTAGCCCCCCGGTGTTCCCTCAAAGAGCGCCGACCCCCCACTTATTTAAAGGACTATATTGCGTATGTTGGGTCAGAACTATGGGGGGAGGGTGTTATGTACGCGGACCGCCACCAGAGGTCCATGGCTACAGTCAAGAGCTTAGCTCCTCTAGACAATAGGAACCTAGGATCCTAGTTCCCCCAGCATGAACCAATAGAAACTTTGGCGGGAAATTCAAACCCTCCAATGGGACTGTGGGTGTGCTGGGTGGGTGTGTATATAGTTGGCCTTGCAGGGCCGGTTTGCAGTTCTGTGTTAAGTACAATAAACGTGTGCAAGTGCATGTCGTTGTCCAAGTACTCCATGCGGTGAACCCAGTACTTTTCAAGGGCCTTCTGGGAGTGCCACCCTACAAATAGGCAAGATCAGCAACTGCCTGTGCGGTTGTGGCGCCTACCTTGTGGAATGTCCTGCCTGAGGAGGTCAGGAAGGCTCCCACTCTTCTGTCATTTCACAGATTATATACATTGTTCAAAGATTGTAGGGTGATTTTATAACAAACTGGTTCAGGCAGGTGCTTTTATTAAAAGGACTGGAAATTACACATATGTGTATAGTATGTTTTATCTGTTTGTGGTGTGTACTGTCTTATGCTTCCCACTTTGTTATTTTACTTACATAGTACCATTTTCTGCATTATTTAACATGTCTAATACTTTGTTTTGTTTTAGACTGTTGTAATCCTAGTCCTATTACATTGCTTATTAGATGTCTCATTATATTTATTACATTGAGTTACACTATGTAATCCACCTTGAGTCTCAGTGAGAATAATGAACTATAAATAAAGTAAAACAAAAACATAAAAATAACAGGCGTGAACTAATGAAAAATATTCCTGTCTTACATGGCAAAATACATCTCATGTCAATACAGTACAGCACAGCCCCCCCCCATAGTTATCCTTGTTTCTGAGCTGCTTTCCTGAAACTGTACACCTTCCATGAATCCCTTCACATCTTTTTCTCCTAATCCACTCATTTCTGCAGACACCCTGACCACTTTTACCATTTAGATCCTACACTCTCCTAAGGACTACCTGGACCTATCTTAACCATATGTCCTTACCATTTTATTTCTGTTCATCCACCTCCCATGCAAACCTGCCCACATGTTGATATCAACAGATGAAGCCCAGTTCTGCATGCCCCAGCCTTCAGGGACTGAGAGAAAGATACTTTTCTGGTAAGACATTTTCCTAAACATGCCAGGTCTATCGCATAGGGTTGATGTCAGTATAAAATTAAGAAGAGAAAATCATATATGTTGCTCTGAACTCCTTGAAGGAAGGGCAGAATTTAAAAATCTACTAGGTATATAGGACAGGACAGGAAGAAGTGTGTCAGTTCTAAAGTGAGTACCTGAAACAGAGCTCAAATGTTCTTGGAAAATGTTTCTGGCAGTTTTCTGCCTGATATAGGGCTGCTTAAAGGGTAAGGCCACCAGGAATGTTAAAATGTTGATGTTTCAGGCTGTACTGGATGTTTACATTTTCTGCTGTTTTAGTGTTGAATTCATATTTAGTTTGAAAGGCTGTGATGTTTTAATTAATGACGGAATAAATTTAGAGTCTAGTGGCACCTTTAAGACCAACAAAGGTTTATTCAAGGGATGAGCTTTCGTGTGCACGCACACTTTATCAAATACGTTAGAATGGTATGGAAGGTTCAAACTTATAGCCAGAGAATGAATTAACATGTAACATGATGCTGTTCATTCTCTGGCTATAAGATTGAACCTTTCATGCCATTCTAATGTATTTGATAGTGTGTGTGCACACAAAAGCTCATACCTTGAATAAACCTTTGTTGGTCTTAAATTTGTTCTACTGCTTCATACCAACACGGTTGACCATCTGAATCTATCTTAATTAATGATGGTCATTGTTATGTTTGTGAGCAACCTCAGGGGCCTTCTATAGATTGTAAAGTGGTGTATAACAGATAGTGGGTGTAGCAGAAAATCCCCTGCTTTGCAAATAGAACTCCCTGCTTTGCAAAAATCTGGAAGATTCTCCTATGCTTCTGCCTTTGTTGAAATGTAGTAGAATCTGGATCATAATGCAAGATACCTGGAATTCTGGACTGAAAAATTCCTGTTAGGGATTGGTGATACATTAACATTCTGTTGTGGGTCACCATAAAGGGAAGGGAAATTATTGACTTTTATTTTATAGACTCCAGTCAAGATTATGATGATTTCAGCTAGAGAAAATAAAACTCAGTCTGTACTTGGCTCTAATTCCTATTAGGAAATTGTGTAAGGAGTGTTCCATCTTGGAACCCAAATGGATTCCCCATATTCCTTGTTTCTTGATATGTGCAACCCAGAGCCCCCCCCCCCTTTTTAGCAAATCCTGTTATACAAATGTTGTCAGCATGTGTGATAGATTGATGCTTACTTTTTTTCTGAAGTAAAAGGGTATCAAGTTTTAAGTGTCACTGGTCAAGGGGAAAGAAAAGATAATTTAGAATTCCTTCTAAAATTCTGTGAAGTGGGAACTACGAAGTTAAAAACTTACTATCTACATTATCATTCAAAATGTTGTATAAGCAATAACTCTCTTCTCCACACACTTAACTTGGGCTAGGTGTACCTTCAGCACTCATAAATCCCAGCATTAATGGTGGAGAGGTATAATATACACAGCAGGTGTAAACCATAGCTTCTATCCGCCAAAGTTGTTGTAGAAATGTGATACAAAACCTGGCCAAACCAGTGATGTATGGGACAGGTGATAACATTTAAGTGTCGTGGGAGCACAGATTCAGTGCCCCTGTGTTCCCAGACATAAACATCCCATAGTTGTTATGACGACCTCGCCCACTTCCCTTCCTCAGAGGCAAGATTTCCCTGCTGATTAAACGAGTTTGTTTTTAATCCAGTTCATGGGGGGAAAACACAAGAGTCACACAAATTGTGCCTGGATTGAATATAATGTTGTGTGGATGTCCCCAATCACAGCACAGGCTTCCCATTGTTCACATACAGTGGAAATCGCCATGTAGTAACAGCCTCTGGATATAATCTGTTTTTTGAAATCTTGTAACCATTTACTACCTGTGCAGGCATATGTGGATACAGTAGGAAACACACTAAATAACTTCACAATGCAAAAATTATCAATATAGTTTATTTATTGAATGAAAAAGGGCAGTGCAAAACAAAATCATTTAAAAGTCTAATGTAGATTTACACAAAGATATTACAGACCACAAAACAAATGTACCTAACTAAAACTTAAATGATAGTGATGACATATGCATGAACAGTTATATACCAAAAAACTATGATTCAGAATTACTAAGACAAATAAAAGTGCTTAATTTTTAATATCATTCCAGCTTTTCTTTTAACTGAACTGTGTTTCCTGAGCTATTGCTGAGTTCTCAGAGCTGCCCACTTTTCAAAGCAGCCTCTGTAATTAACAGTAGCTTGGTGTGCAGACTCCTTGTTGTGGAAAGCTTTACCTGCTCTTTTCTGTGCATCAAAGTGATGTGAGAAGCATAACAAGCAACCCAGGCCAAAGTCAACAACCTTAAGCATTATTCTTAAACATTCTTAAAGGCATCCCAAATAACAGACTTTTTTTCCTTGCTATATTCCAAGACAGTTGGGGGAGTTTAAAAAGCAGCTTCAGATGTGTCAAGGGAGATTATGCGGCAAGAATTAAAATAGTCCACATTCCACACTAATAGAATGGAGACATGGATGTTTTTAATTCACTTCTGTCAGCACTGCACCCAACCGCAAATTGTTTTCTTAAACTCTCCTGAGTTTAAAAAGTTGTTGGACACAAGAGGAGTCTGCAGCTGCTATGGCAAAAATCAATAAACCTCCCTCACATCTGTGCATAGATCTGGTGTATGCATGCAGGGCTCTATTTTTGACCATTATTTCAACTACAAGCTGGCATGAGGGAAAAAGAACTTTGTGAACAGCATAGCAAACAAGTTAACTGTAAACAACCACCTTTTCTCCTAGCATATGATTGCAGGAAAAAACTTGCCATTAACCAAGTCCAAACAACCTTTCCCCCCAGCAACTGTAACACTAAATAGAAAGCAGAAAAAGAGGTCTTTCTGGGATGTGGTTCCCGACAGCATAGGGATTTATGTGCCACACTGGCTGATTTAACAGTGACATCTTTGTGGAGCCGGCACACATAGGAATCAGCACACACAAAGCTGCCTTATACTGAATCAGATCATCAGTCCATCAAGGTCAGTACTGCCTACTCAAACCGACAGCACTTCTCCAGGATCTCAGGGAGAGGTCTTTCACATCCCCTCCAACCTGGTCCTTTTAACTAGACATGCCATGACTGAACCTCAACCTTCTGCATGCAAAGCAAAGGCTCTTTCACTAAGCTACATCCCCTCCCCAACCACAGTTCTTGTGTGTTATTTGGGAATCAAATATACCTTTTTTACACTTGGCATGACTAAGTTTCCACCTAGAAAGCAATTTATTTGGGATTTTTACAATGCTTGGTAAAGGTAAAGGTTCCCTTGCTCGAAAGCCAGTCGAGTCCGACTCTAGGGTTGCGGTGCTCATCTCCGTTTCAAAGCCGAAGAGCCAGCGCTGTCTGAAGACATTTCCGTGGTCATGTGGCCGGCATGACTAAACACCGAGGCACATGGAACACTGTTACCTTCCCACTGAAGTGGTACCTATTTATCTACTTGCAATTTCTTGCTTTCAAACTGCTAGGTTGGCAGGAGCTGGAACTAGAGACGGGAGCTCACTCTGTCATGCGGCAACTCAGGTCTCGAACTGCTGAACTACTGACCTTCCACAGCCTGCAGTTCAGCGTCTTAACCACTTGAACCACTGCAGCTCCTAATGCTTAGTAGATAGAGTATATATTCATCTGAGTGGATATTATACATGTGAAGGTGCCCACTGTTTGGTCTAAAAAAATACAATATGTCACGCACACATTAGAACATCAACTTTTCTGTGATTTTCTTGTACAAAATATTTTGAAAAGGTAGCTTTAATCACATGATAGCCCAGTCATCTGAAGCTCGTATTGCATATCAGGTGCTACAGATACAAATAGTTTTGGAAAACAATTTTAAAAAGAAAGACTCGTGTGCAGTAGTGTTTACGCAGGTATTCTGCTAATGATGTTTGGTTTGGCAAAATTAAATGCTGAGATTCTTCAGTGATGTGCAAATCCAGTTCTCAGATTTGGATTTAGATTTGGAGACTAAATGATACTTTTGTAGTATAGCAAGGAACAGACTCTGAAAAGAGAAAATATAAATATAATACTTTAGATATCAATTGTAGAATAATCACAACTTTGTTGCTAAAAATAGTTAGACATGCTGAAAACATCTTTCTGATATACTTTTTGGAATATATCGTATTCTTGAGACAAAGTCCTGCCAACACTTTCCATTCATAATGCAACCAGAATCTATGCACTACTTTATATTTTGCGGGGTTAAGAAATTTAAAACAGGCTTTATATGGAAAATCCCATTGGCATGCATTAGCCACCTGCAGATTCTGCAGACTCAAACTTTCCTGCTTTCCCTTCCCAATGTAGCTCACTGAACCCTCCAAAATTCTGCAGACCCTCAGAAACAGCTCAGGGGGCAACATGGGAATCTGTAGTGGGATGGGAAGTGATGTAAATCACTGCCCCTGCTTCTACAAACAGAAATACCATTCCATCAGAGGAACTACATGGTTGGATATGTAGTAAATGAAGTAATAGTGAACCCAATAGAAGCTCTTTCTGGGCCTCTAGTAAATGTTATGGAGTCTGAATCAGCTGGTTGACATCCAATTGGAAAGGAAGAAGGAAACCTAGGCAAAGTTTGACTGTTGGGTAAGTAGCAACAAAATAAAAGTCAATGTAGACACAAGTAAGATGAGCACAGGGGAAGGAAGGACCTTCTGTAGAAGTAAAAGGGATGAGTCTCTACACAGCAAAACATGCAATGAGGGTTTAGGGATTACACTATATATAGGATGAGGTGGCCCTGCAGAGATCCATTGCCTTTAAACAGTCACCTGTCTGACTCAGTTAGCCTCTTTCAACTTTATGATGGTATCAATAATATATTGTCATGTGGCTACTGAGGACTTCTGGACTTGCCCAGTCATGATCCAGAGACAGAGTGTCATTTAACAAAAGGTGGTAGTGAGACATCATTCTGCAATAAGGACTCTTTCCTCATGCTAGGGTTATGGATCTTTACTCTCCTTACAGTTTTCATGTGCCAATACCCCAGCAGCAAGTATCCCCCCCTGGCCACTAGGGCTTTTTTGTTTTGTTTTTAATCAGCAACTGAATATTATGTGGATGTAACATTATAACAATATGTGTATCAGGTTGTCTGAATTCTCAGCTTTCATGCTTTTCCCCTTTTATCTCTACAATGGACGGGCTAGAGACTTGTTGAAAAAAAATGAAAGGTGGGAATTTAAATCAAAAAGCCCCCTGATATAAAGGGAAGGAAATAGTTATTGTGGGGACTGCATCAGGGGAAATGGCTGCCATGTAGGTGGGAAAATGTGAACCTTCCCACTTGCACAGCAGTCATTCAGGCTTTAATGAGACCTTTCCTAAAACTTTGCAACATACCAGGTTTGAGAAAGATTAGATACAAACTGGAGAAACCCTGGGAGGTGTGTGACTATACCACTATTGGGAAAACCTCCTACTCCCCAACAGCACTGAAGCTGGGGCAGAGGATCCATGTGGAAATGGCCTAAAGCAGAGTTTAATCCAACTTCAGAATTCCAGTTAGTGGTAACAGAAGCTAACTCTGGCTAATTTGCACACCTGCATGGGTAATCAAAGCCAGTTTCTAGATGAATTTCAGCATGAGGGAAGGGAGTGGCACCAAGGCACACATGTAAGCCTGACAATAAATCAGGTTTGGGCAAATCTAGATTTCAAGACACTGAATTATGCAGCCATAATTAATAACTTCAGGTTAAAGGGAACAGTCTACATTGCTTTGCTCATTGTACATGTTATATTGTTGTTTAGGAGGGCCTTTTTACAAAAGGGTTATTCTGAATGTCTGTGAAATTTCAGCTAGTTTTCATTGCTTTGTTCATTGTATACTTTATACTGTTGTGCTGTCTAACTTTATAATCCAGTCTGCTTACGTGTATTATACTGTGTATATTGTGTGTAATATACTTTTTAGTGTACTTCTCTCTGATTTTGAAACCCCACTTTATTGCACTGTTATGCAACTGTATGCTTTTAATTGTGTGACTCCTGGAGTCTGTAAGACTAGATATTAAGTAAATAAATAAGTTTATGTGAATGAAATTATGATTAATTTCCTTGTGGCGCACCAAAGCACAGCACCACAGGAATGGCACCTAAGGCCCACTGGGCTTGCTGCCTGGCCAAGCAGCAGTGACCTCAAGCCCAGCAACATGGGAAGGGGGGAAAAAATCCCCAGTCCTGCCAGCCTAGAGTGATCCTGTGTCTGGGTGGTGGCAGCATGACCAGCCTCTGATCTCCTTGAAGTCTACAATAAAAAGAATAATGGAAAGATAGAATATTCATATTGTAAACTGTTGTTGCTGTTTAATTCAGAGGTGTTATATCAGCAAAATTAGGTAGTAATTCTTCCTTTGTTGATACCTGAATGCACACCTATTTTGTGAATAAAACTTCATTAAAAAAAAAATACTATCATACCAGATGCACTGAAATTATTGTTCCAGTGACATTTCATTGTTGGGTAACACTGTACATAATACACCTCGAAGAACAGTATACTCATATGTTTCAATAGCCAGAAGGAATCCCATCTTTAAAAAGGGTTCCAGAGGAGATCCGGGAAATTACAGGCCAGTCAGTCTGACGTCGATACCGGGTAAATTGGTGGAAACCATTATTAAGGAAAGAATTAGTAGGCACATAGATGAACAAAACCTATTGAGGCAGACTGAAGCGATGAGAGAGGAGGTCCTACAAGTGATTGACAACTTAAAAACTGATGTATCACTAGACCCAGATGGCATACATCTGAGAGTTCTGAAAGAACTCAAATGTGAATTTGTGGATCTCCTGACAAAACTTTTTCTTTAAAATCTGCCTCCATTCCTGAGGACTGGAAGGAGCTAATGTCACTCCCATCTTTAAAAAGGGTTTCAAAAGAGATCAGGTAAATTACAGGCCAGTCAGTCTGACGTCAATACCCAGTAAGTTGGTGGAATTAGTAGGCACATTGATGAACAAAACCTACTGAGGCAGACTCAGCATGGGTTTCGTAAGTGAAGATCTTGTTTCACTAACCTGTTAGTGTTCTTTGAGGGGGTGAACAAACATGTGGACAAGGGGGATCCAATAGATATTGTTTACCTTGACTTCCAGAAAGCTTTTGATAAAGTTCCTCATCAAAGACTCCTAAGTAAGCTCAAAAATCATGGGATAAAAGGATAAGTCCTTTTGTGGATCAAAAACTGGCTAATTAATAGTAAACAGAGAGTGAGTATAAATGGGCAATTTTCTCAGTGGAGGGTGGTAAACAGTGGGGTACGGCAGGGATCAGTACTTGGTCCACTGCTTTTTAACTTGTTCATTAATGATTTGGAGTTGGGAGTAAGCAGTGAAGTGGCTAAATTTGTGGATGATACGAAGTTGTTCAGGGTGGTGAAAACCAGGGAGGATTGTGAGGCAACTGAGGGGGGGGGGAGAGAAAACAGATCAGCCAATATCATAATGCCATTATATAAATCAATGGTGCGACCTCGTTTGGAATATTGTGTTGTTGGGACACCACACCTTAAAAAGGATATTATAGCTTTGGAAAAAGTGCAGAAAAGGGCAACTCGGATGATAAAAGGGTTGGAACAGTTTCCCTATCGGGAAAGGTTAAAGCGCTTAGGGCTCTTTAGCTTGGAGAAACAACAACTGAGGGGAGACATGATTGAGGTTTATAAGATTATGCATGGGATAGAGCAGGTAGAGAAAGAGGTATTTTTCTCCCTTTCTCACAATACAAGAACTCGTGGGCACTCCATGAAATTGCTGAGCGGTCGGGTTAGAACGGATAAAAGGAAGTACTTCTTCACCCAAAGAGTGATTAACACATGGAATTCACTGCCACAGGAAGTGGTGGTGGCTACAAGCATGGACGGCTTCAAAAGCGAATTAGATATGCATATGGAGCAGAGGTCCATCAGTGGCTATTAGCCACAAGGTATAGATAGGGGCTCTAGGGCAAGTGATGCTCTCTCTTCTTGGTGCTTGAGGGGGGGTCAACAGTGGGAGGGCTTCTAATGTCCTAGCACCACTGGTGGACCTCCTGATGACACTGGTATTTCTGGCCACTGTGTGACACAGAGTGTTGGACGGGATGGGCCTTTGGCCTGATCCAACATTGGCATCTCTTATGTTCTTATGAACACTGTTTCTTTCAGTTCAGTCTTTGAGGAGTTTTTTTGTCTTAAATTCCCCTCTTTGAACAAGAAGTAGAAGTCTATAAAGTATCACACGTGATTGCTCCTTGCAGCCCTGACATTTACAAATATATACATAACCTTCCAGATCATTTCCCCTAAAGGGTCTGCCTCAGTCCATACTCCTGTAATCCAGCTGTTAACTCCTTCTTTTTATGGCTCCCAGCTGGAGTAATTATTTACTCTCAAGCAGCACAAGCTGGCTGTTTGCCTGCAAAATGGCAATGATTTGTTGATAGTCACGGCACTGTTTGGCCACATGACAATTTTTAAAAAGGATTCAAAATTTTCAGCTTCCCTACAGTTTAAAAAATTAGCAAGCACATAGTTACCCCTGCATAAAACCATCTAACCTACAAAATGTTATGCCTTCAACTTTATCATTGCTGAATATCAGGTTTCTGGATGATAGGAATGTTTTAGAATTGCATCCTTAGCATCCAAGGAAGTTTTCACAAATCATACTAAGAAATACTATGCGAGCTAGAGAGTGGGTAAAAAACCAGTCTGAAACCAGATATTCATTCTGTTCATTTTGTTTCAGTGTACAGAACTGTGAAATGTTGTAACTTGTTTAAATGGCAATTGCAAAAAATGGTCCATGGGTGTAATTTGATACTCTGTTCATTTTTTTCAATTTACAGTAGAGTTGCCAGCTCCAGATTGGGAAATGCCTGGAGATTGTGGGGGTGCAGCCTGAGGAGGGTGGGGTTTGTGGAGGTAGGCAACTTCAATGCGGTATAATGCTATAGGTTCCACCTTCTGAAGCAGCCATTTTCTCCAGGGGAATTAATCTCTTTTGCCTGGACATCAGTTGTAATCCCAGGAGATCTCCAACCACCACCTGGAGGTTGGCAACTCTAGTGAACAGAATTGTGAAATGTTGTAACTGGTTTAAATGGCACTTGTGGAAAATGGGTATAATTTGATTGTTTCATTAAAGGGCTTGGATCAGTTTTCTATCTCCCTTCTGCAGGCTCATTTTCCTTAGTCATCCTAAGGCAGAAATCCTGTCTGCACCTACTTTGGAGTAATCAATGGGATTTATTTTTGACTATGTGTGGATAGGATTAGACAGCGTAAGGTGCATCAGCCTCTTTTCCTTTTTGCCAATTATCTACTAAATCCAGGGTTCAGCTAAAAAATATTTCTGGAAGGTATCTGGATCTCCAGTGGCTTCTGTTTACTTAATACAAAATACTTTTGTGCTACTAAGAGCATGAAGGTTCCCCAAACTAGTTTAAAATACTGAAAACCAAAGCCTTCCCATGGTGTGTGAAGCCTTTGGTACAGAACAACATTCCATGCCCACGGCCCTAAAAGAAGAAAAGAAACCTTCTGGCTAGGATGCACAGCAATGGGAAAACTTGCATCTGCCTGAAATGCTGATGTTGGATTCACAGAGCCTAATTAGTGATGGCAAGATGAATAATGGCTTAATACAATTTGGATCCCCTTTATCATTATATCTAATTTTGAATATGGGTCTAGATACAGATCATTTAGAATTAGGGCCATATAGAGATGAGAGAGTTCTACAGACTCAGGGGAGAACCAGTTTGCAGAAAAATTGTAAAACAATAAGGGGGAAAATAAAAAGCCCTTTAAAATGCTGAGATTTCACAGGATTTCCTCATGAGATTTTGACAACCATTTTGTATTGCCTCAGTAACTCTGGAAATGCAAAAAAGCCACTGCAGCTTCACTTTAACACTGAAGGTGAATGGGAGAAAGAAGGAGTGGGCAAGCAGGTAAACCAGAGGAAACAAAGATAAAAAGTGCAAAATGGGCAAAATGAAGATTGGGCAGCATCAAGAAAGCAAGAAAAACAGAAAAGCTGTAAGGAGAAGAGGAGGAGGAGGGAAAGAAATAGGAAAAAGAGTGAAGCTGTGGAGGCTATGATGAAGAACAAAGGAGGGAATATGCACCACGCAGTTCTTTCTATCAGTCTCATGACCATTATTCTAGCAATGCTACTTTGGAGAAATCAATTTAGTAACAACTTTAGCTCAGTTAACGTGTTAAGTCTGACTGTGCATATGGGACGAATGTGCTACATGCCATCATCTAGATATGAACCACTGCAGTTTTTTTCTCAATGGGGCAACACATGCATATTCTAGCTTTGGAAAATATGTTCATGGCGTCTGGCATGAAAATCCCTGTCAGAAGAAATAGTGATCACATATATCTGGGGGATCATATATAAAGCATTTGTTCCATATGCACAGTCACAGTACCAGGAATAGGGATGGACACAGGGTTTGGTTTGTGGGTGAACCACGAACCAAACCACAAACCCAATCAACACATATGAACCAAACTTGGTTCATGCCCAAATCAGCTGAGCTGTGGGGGTAGCCTGCTCCCATGGCTCAGTTGTTTCATGCTCCAAACAGCTGTGCCATGGGAGCAGGCTGCCCCATGGCTCAGCTGTTTCCAATCTAAACAACTCAGCCTCAGCTGTTTAGATCAGAAACAGCTGAGCTGTGCGGGCAGTCTGCTCCCGTGGCTCAGCTATTTAAAGGGGCTTCCTTTCCCAGGGACTGGCTGCCCATGAAAGCCCATTGAAACAGCTGTCATGGGAGCAGGCTCAGTTGTTTTGAGCCCTAAACAGCTGAGCCACAGAAGCAGGCTACCCTGTGTCTCAGCTTTTTCTGATCTTTTGGCAACTTTCATGGGAAGTACTGCTTTTTGCTCCCCACAAACCTTCATGAATTGCCTTAAAAGTTCGTGGAGGTTTGTGGCCATGCTGCAGTTCACAAAACACAAACTGGCCAAAATTCATCACAAGCAAAGGTTTGTGAGCCAGTTTGTGCCCATCCCTAGCCAGGAATGTAACTTGCTGTTGTAGAGCCCTGTTTGGAAGTCATGGTTGTATAATGTATTATGTATAAGTAATTCCCATACTTAAAAGACAGTCTAGGATCCAAACAGTCTGATTGGTTCCTTAATTTTCTCTTCCAAATGTACTACTTTTTTCGAACTTAGAAGCTGGAGTTGAGGTTCCTTTGATTTTGAAAACTGTCTTTTTCATGTGGTTTAAATGCAGCAGTAAGAAGAGGGACTTCATAGTTCAATATGCATGTGAAAGCACATGCCACTCCAGGCCATAATACAAACAGTTTGGAGGGGGGGGAATGGAGCTGAACATGCTCTCCTTTTTCTGTTAGGCACATGTCCTGGGTAGCTGTTCTGCAAAGAGTAATTAAATAATATGTCCAGTTTGCTTTAAGGGATTGGTTTGGAAAGGAATCATTGTGGAAACTGTATAACCAGGGAAAGGAGCTATGCCTGTTCAGGATGTGTTTAACCCATACAATTATTAAACACACCTTGCATATTTCAAACATAACTGTAGCGTAAGAGCTGTATTTTTAAAATTTCATTCTCAGAAATCTTAACAAAACACTTCATAAGTAAGCGAGTATTTTAGTTAAACTTTTCTGATGTGTCAAGAAAACCAGTTTAAAACAACGTTTGTCCAACAGAATGAAGGAAAACTAAGCTTGTTGTTTCATTAATGTGTGTATGTACCTCTTTCTCTTAGATCTGTAATATAAGCTTTCATAAATTCTTTTTCAAACAGCTCACGATCACGGTCACTTTCAGTTATTTCTACAGTCTCTTGAAATGAGGTTGTTTCAAGAGGGTTATCCTTGAGGCTTATAAATCTGCAAGAAGATGAAATATTAGCATGAACGGGGTTAAATAATGCTTCTTATCATGAGCAGTCTGCAACCTGCTGTACGCCAAATGATTTATTGCCATATAATTTTTTTGTTCTTCCAACTTTGTTATGGAGCTACAGTAAATTTATCTATGAGCACAACATTTCTACTATATTTGTGGACATGTTAGCCACATGCCGTTAATGATAATTAGCTATAATAAAATGTTAATTCTGAAGTGGCCTTATACAAGCAGACATATAAAGCACTTAGATATGCTTCACTCCTGAATCAAAATGTATATTTTCCATCTGCTGTGGAGCACATAAACAGTTTACACACAATGAATGCTACTTCTTTAACAACAGGATAGACATATTAACACATTGGAAAAGTTTCTCAAGGGTTAGAAAGGCAAAAGTCCCATAAGTCATGGAAGAGAAATCAAGTAGTTCACTTTCCTCCTACCACATTTTCATGGTTCAATACTATCACCCCTCAGATATTACTCCCATGATACTGAAGACCATAGACATCTAGACTGTCTGATTTTGCCAGACTTGGTACATGAGAAATACACATAAGCAGAGTCATATCCTTCTAACCCCATTGACTTCAGTGGTCTTAGAATGGTGCAAATTCTGTTTGTGATTGCATTCTTTGAGGGCTAATAGCGATTCTTTTTCTTATACATGAATAAAGTCATGAAGCATAGCAATGTGTTACAGTCTATAATGTAGAAACAGTTACTATGACTTACATTTCCTTCAAGGAACTCAGAGTAGCATAATTAGCATTTCCAGGTATCCTTCATTCAGTTACTAGCCAGACCCAATTCAACTCACGGACAGATGCTATCCCTATGCATATGTATGCAGGCCTTTGGGTATTTTAAACACAGACCACCAAGACCAGACAGATTTTACGAGGCCTGTTAGTCACATTTGAGAGCTACCGTAATACAGCAGCTGTGAGTAGGGAAATCCTTGGTTCAAATATGTCTTCTGGCATAAACTCACTGCGGTTTTTAGCAAGATAATATTCTCACAGTCTCAGTGCCCAGTATTCAACATGAGGATAAAAATATTTACCTGTTGTATGGATTACTGAAATAATCTATAGAAACCTTTCAAACACTCAAAATACAATGCATGAATAATAAATATTATTATTTGCAAGTATGTTCATATTTTGAATGTGAAACCAACTAATATAATGAAAACCTCTTAAAGCAGGTTATTTCACATGTGAGATATTAATGCATACAGAATTCTAAATTTCTTTCTTGCTCCATTTCTCATCACATGCACTAGTTTCAGCAGGTAAGCTGCAACCCACCAATGTATCACTACCCTTCCTAAGGTAGATTGCATCAAAATGCTGTTGCCATTTTTGTTGTGGACTCCGTGAATGAGTTTACAGACCGTTGGCCAGGAGTAAAGCACAGCAACCTGTTGTGTGAAGGACACACAATTATAGATTCCATGCAGGATTTTGAATACAAGGCTCACAGGCTCCATATTGCAAACATGGCAGGGTCTTTTAAACTCTGCCCTCCAATCTGCGTAGCTCCTTTCTGAGGGAGGCCTGCCTGGTTCTTTCTCAAGTCAAGGCAACTCTCTTGAGAGTGTTTAGGGGATGTCTGCCTTGATATGACTTTATATTCCCACCAGCTGTTTTGTTTCAGTCTGACTTGTTTTTATATGATTTTACTTTACACGTTCCTTCTTCATAAATCTATTGTTCGTTGCCTCAAAGATTTTAATAAATAAAATACTAAACCCTGATGTTTAAGATGTCCTTAATTATTGTAGTGGTATAAATTAAGACTGAGTTTTCTCCCAGAAACAAAAGATTACATCTAGAATAAAAGGAAACAATAATTAGGAAAAAGTTGTTCATATTATTATTCTTTCTGACTGACTTACTTTAAACCTGTGGTTGATTCACAGATAGCTGTGGGCATCTGGACCAAATCGTTACCACTTACCACCAGTAAATTGAGTTTGGGCAAATTGACCAAAGATCTTGGAAGATAAGTCAACTTGTTTTTGTGCAGGAGAAGCGTTTGTAATTCTTCTAGCCTTAGGAGATTAACAGAGTAACATAGTTAAATGAAGAATGGATCACATCTGGTAAATTTTTATTACATAGTGTATTTGATTTGATTTATATCCCACCCTCCTCACAAGCGGGCTCAGGGCAGTCACAACATAGGATTAAAACATTAAAACAATAATAATCCAGATTAACAAATAACAACAAATTTACAATTCAGATCCAAGATGGCAGCTAATCCAGGACTCCTGAGGAAGCTAGTTAAATGGTCATACACCACAACCCGTTACCTGGTAATGCTTTGTTGATCTCGGGGCACGGGTTGGTCAGAATGGGCACTATAGTACTGCAGCAAAGTTGCATTTGCAAGGACAACAAGGTTATCACCTAGCATTGATTTCTTTAGATATTTATACCCAATGGGGACCCCCAAATGGCTTACAACATAGTTCTTCCTTTATCTATTGTATTCTCACAACAACACGGTGAGAATGAGTGAGAAAACTGGCCCAAGGTTACCCAGCAAGCTTCCATGGCCGAGGGGGGATTCAAATCTAGATATCCCAGATCCTGCTCCAACCATGACACTATGCTGGCAGAGACCGGGCCTTCCTCCCACACCCATTTTACTTTCTGTGTAGCCTCATCCATTGCATCCTACCATAATGGCAGTGGTGGACTATCAGGGGCAGAGCCTTTCTCACTCTCTTCTCTCACTTGCCCCACTATAGTAGCCGAGAGGCCATTTGGGTGTAGTGGTTAAGAGTGGCGGATTCTAATCTGGAGAACCAGGTCTGATTCCCCACTCCTCCACATGAAACCAGCTGGGTGACCGTGGGTCAGTCACAGTTCTCTCACAGCACTCTCAGCCCCTAAAAACGAGTCTAGCTCACCACTAGCATAATGCTAAGAGCTTATGGCTGCCAGATAATCTTAGGATCTCCTGGCTATTCTACACACGATGCCATGCAATACTTAATTTAATTAAATTACTGTAGTAGCAATTGTGTCACAGCAGTGAATTTTTCTTTCAGATAACAATGCCACTCTTTATGCATGCAGGACTCCCAATCTGCATACACTGCATAGTGGCCACACCACACCTGAAACCTTGCATGGCTAAAAGAAAGATCTAAACAACTGCCTTTCATATACTTGAAATACACTGACATCTGCAAATTTCATCCTGTGGGGACTTTTGACAAACAAAGCAGCCAAGCCATCACAATAAACCATAGTTTGATCAACTGTTAGTGAGGCATGACTTCTAAATTCACACAGTCCACCAAAGCAGGATTTCAAACTAGGCCTTATACTTCTTTTATTACACACACTTTGTACTAACTGTGGTTTGTTGTAACTTCTTAATATATAAGTAGATTCTACTGTAGGGTGGGCACATGTACACGTTATTACAAAAATCCAGATTTATTTGTCCATTGCAATTTTCAGGTTTTTTTTTTGAAAGTTCAGAAACATCATGTGCCACCATGACTGGCTCATAATATGAATTATACTTATCATTACAATTTTGATAGGAGGAGCGGAGCAGTTGAGTTCTGAACACTGTGCACAGCATTATAACCAGAGCCCTGTATACCATAAACAGTCTAGACCATTATTGTCTTCAAACAAGAGAGCAGGTACGGCTTATGCAGCTGCATTGTTCTGACTAAACTGAACAATGTACCTGTTTTTTCAATTACAAAAGTGATTTGGAATGGGAAAGTTACGAAGCAGCGAGGAAACCTTTTCCCAGTCCACAGAGACTCTGTATAGATCAAAGGTTTTATAAGTGCCACACCCCAAACAGGTAATCTTTCAACCCATCTCACTTCCAGATGTAAACAATATAAGGATATACCTATCAATGTCTTGTGGGAGATCTTTGAGGTTATTGCTGCTAATATCCAACCACTGCAAACTTGACATCCGAAGCACGCATACTGGAATTGAGGGAAACTTGTTTGCTGACACATCTACATATGTCACTTGTTTCAAGTTACTTAGCTGTAAAGAAATATTGCATTACATTATATGTCATAAGGAATTCAGTGAAGGAAATATGTAGTTAATTATCATTGTTGAGGGTCTCTTTTCAACTTTCAAGTATGCTATTTGTTTTATTTTTATTTATTTACAACATTTATACACCATCTTTCTGCCCTCATCAGGGCCACCAAGGCAGCTAATAGACTAAAAACGTACATAATAAAAGCACATCTTTAAAACCAAACAAAAACACACCATTCAAACATTTAAAATCAAGTCAAAATACAACATAATAAAATGTACAGGTATAAAAACAACAATTAAAACATGACAGGAAGGAGGGATCACTGAGGGAACACCAGATGAAACAAAAAAAGTCTTCACCTTCTGGCAGATGAAGGCAATAGAAGGGGACAGGCGAGTCTCTCTGGGCAGAGTGTTCCAGAGTTTGGGTGCCATGACTGAGAAGGCCCTCTTCTGGGTTGTCACCTGCCTAATCTCAGAACCCCAGGGGCACCCAAAGAGGGCCTCAGAAGATTAACATAGTGCCTGGGCAGGTTCACAAGGGAGTAGGTAGTCTTTCAGATACACTATTCCCAAGCCATGTAGGGCTTTACAGGTCAATGCCAGGACTTCAACTGTGCCTAGAAATAGACTATGCCCAGGGCTATTTTTGGGCAGGAACACACAGGAACGGCGTTCTGGCTGGCTCCCAAGTTGGCCACACCCAGCAGGAACTCATTAGCATAATAGGCCACACCCAACAGCAGAAACTCATTAGGATTGGCTACATTAGGGGTGTGGCCTAACGTGCAAAGGAGTTCCTGCTGCAAAAAAAGGCCCTGGGTTCAACAAGGTAAACAGAATAACAAGCAAAAGGTGGGTGTGGCTGGATAACCACACTTCTGGTAACATGGGGGTGCGGCCTAATGTGCTAATGAGCTGTGCTGTCAGGGGTGTAGCCCAATATGCTAATGAGTTCCTGCTGTTGGGTGTAGCCTATTATGCTAATGAGTTCCTCCTGGGCTTTTTCTACAAAAAGAGCCCTGACTATGCCTATGGGCCATTAAGAGACCCAATGGCACCATTTTGAAAATAACGTATATAATGAAATAGTGCAACCTGTTTTGTGTGTTTTTCTTTTTAAATCTGTGCTATCTTAAATTGTTTTTAATTATTCCATAAATTCTATTTGTGTTTTAGAATCCTGCTATGATCTGCCCTGAGCCTGCTTGAATAAAATAAAAATAAGTCAAAAAAAATGAAAAGGAGGGAAAGATCAATTGGGAGACCTGCTTCCAGTCTGAGTAGACAATACTGACCTTGATAGACTGATGGTTTGTTTCAGTATAAGGCAGCTTTGTGTGTTCATGTTTCCAAAGATTAGCAGGACTGGAGACGTGGATTGATCACTATGGTGAATTTTATAGATGGGAGTTTTGCTCCCTTTCCCTTCCCATCTAGCTGCCCTTAAAAAGCTGGTCCTGGAAGCCAGGGGCTGCAGCAAGAGAAGAGAAGGAGCTGCAGCAAGAGCTCTGCTGATACACGAGTGCAGATAGGACTTCTGCTTATTTCTCCTTCTTTCTGTAGCTCCCTGTGCTTGCATCCTACATTCCTAAGGATATCCTGGACCTCAAGAACAATTTGGGGTAGATGTAAGGGCTGCATGGGAAGGGATACGATGGCAAAGATCTCTTCCTCAAATACACTTGCTTTGTAGAATGGTCGATGCAACCCAGATTTTTTTTTTCCAGAGCTGTAGGGGGTATAATGGAGGTTTATGGGACAATAATATCCCTTAGTACTTTATGTGGATTTGACTGTAGTGTTTATTGATTATAATATGATGATGTTGATTTTTTTAATGACAATGAGTTTATGATTTAGTTGTTCTAAGGATATGAGTGTTGTAAACCATTGTTGGCCCATTGCATGGGGAGACATGGTCAGTAACTAGTACAAGAAAGAAAATAACTGGATTTCCTCCCCCCCCCCCCAATGAGTTAAAGTATGTCCCCAGTCTTAATGTCCTAAAGGAGACTATCAAAGGACCATGATTGGCTTTAATCTTACACTTGTTCTAGACACAAAAAAAGACACCTGAAAACAGGCATGAGTCGGTTTCTCTAGAAAATTCATTTGGTTATGGAAGCTTCTGTCTATTAAGCCACTATTAATTTTAACACACACAGGTTTTTCTCTTTTTAAATACCAATGCCTTATTCCACCCAGAATTTCACTTCCTTTGAGATAAACAGAAGTTGCCAGAAGCAATACTTGCTGGATTGTAGCCCATGTTTCACATATACAACATACAGCAATCAGAGATCCTTTTATACAGTATCATGATATTGTCAGGTTCCCAAGCCCAAGCTTCACTTTTTGGGAAGAGACTTTTCTTTTTCCAGATAACACTGCTAAATATTAGATTACAGAGTCCAACTTCACTCACTGTAACCTACAGAGTCAGAAGCTAACAGTCATGTGGCACCTTAAAGACAAATAAAATGTATTGTTGAAGCATTGTTACTCTTCAGGGTGCCACAGACCCTTTGTTGTTTTTGCTGCAAGAGACTAACACAGAGATCCCTCTGGAATTCAAATCATAACATCTGATTTATTTTACATCTGCCCTTTTCTACTTTAAAGCTTGTTTGACACAGTTCGCAGTGCAAACCTCGAAGCTGACAGGTGAAGCTGATGATGGTTACAAAGTAACACACCAATTACAAGAGGGTGGAGAGGCTGTTCATTGTTGCCATTCATGATTTCCCACATAAACATCTATGTGGCTATGATGGTGAGGACAATATGATGTGAACAAGAGATACAGTTGTTGCAACCAGTGTTTTCTTTGATCATGGGGGTACTTTTGGACATGTTGACATCATTGCAAAATATTCTTGTGTATAATTGAGTTACATTGCACATTCTCTATACCATTGCAAACCTGGGAATGATTGTCACAGAATTAGTGCCTGGCTTGAGCCTCAGTCCTCTGTTAAACCTATGTTACTTTAATTTCTATAGTAAAGTATAGTTGAATCTTTGGTTCTGTTTCCCAGGAGGCTTCAGGACTCTGTTGGTGCTGTGGCCTTCTGGTACCGATAACTCTGTACATGATTCTGGCTTTAGAGGATGTTTATACATTCCAGAAGTTAGTGGTGTCACTATCAGAATCAAAATGGATAGCGTATCTGAAACTAGCTTCCTTGACTCTCCTTGACTTTCCGTGAGCTTCCTGACCCCAGGGATAGAGAAATGGGGGAGGGATTTGGGTCGGTACATTGGGTCAGTTCTAGTTTGTTCTGCATCACATTCACGGTAGTCCTACATGATAAGTATGCCAGTAGGCACATTTGCTGCTATAGGTCCAAGAAAAATATATATCTCTGGTCCAGGAAAGATATATCACCCTGGAGACTAACAAAGATGGCACCAAACAAGGAGTCCTAGTGCTAGTGGCTCCTTGCGTTAAAACTGATTCCAACCAACTGGCACACTTTCTCGGATTATACTAGCTCAGATAGCATCGCCATGCTGTGAAAACCTGGTGGACTGATGTGGGACTAAAAATATTGGCAAAAATATCAACAATACGAATAGCTACCTCTTCCCCCTCGGCATGGTTTCCTGGCTTCTGATGTTGAGCAGTGGAGCCTTGGCGCTGAGCGAAGGCTCTGCCAACGGTGGGTGTCTGTGCGGCAGCTGCGGAACACTCTTGGCTCTGCTGGCTCCGCTTTTCCACTGTGGCCATCTTGGCAAGACTCATCCCTGATCATTGCTACAGCAGCTACAGCTGCTGCCAGTGGTGGTGTACGTGCTTCTAGCATTCAAGGGGGGGTCAGAGACTCCAGAGAGGGTCTCTACCCCCTCTGGAATCTCCCTGGCTGAGCTCGATCCCGCCAGACAATCGATGACAGCACAACTCTGGCAGCATCCCTCCCCATCAGGCATACCATTGGGGGTCAGTAGTAGCAAAAACAACGGGGGACGTTGGACCTAGGAGACCGACAAAGCCACAGGAGCAGAGAGATGTGGAACTGAAACACACTGGCCTGGAGAGGTCCGGATAGGTTGACAAACACTGGCATGATAGCGGAGAGGGATCTCAGAGGACACAAATTAATATTCACCCACAGGTCCATCTGGTCCAAGGAAGACCTAGTGGATGTATCCGGCTGCAGCTGCTCAAACTGTTATCTTCCCACTGAAGTGGTACCTATTTATCTTCTTGCAATTTCCTGCTTTCGAACTGCTAGGTTGGCAGGAGCTGGGGCCAGAGACAGGAGCTCACTCCATCACGCGGCACTAGGGTCTCGAACTGCCAAACTACAGACTTTCCAGTGTTCGATGCACCTTAGTGTTTAGTCATGCTGTCGACATGACCACAGAAACATCTTCGGACAGCACAGCTCTTCGGCTTGGAAACGGAGATGAGCACCGCCGCCTAGAGTCAGATTCGACTAGCTTTCGAGCAAGGGAAAAGCTGCTCAAAACTGGATTGCTATCCACAGATTGGCTTTCAACAGCAATTGTTTGGCTGCTAACTCATAGGGAATACTCAGGTTTCTTTTAGACTTAATTAATTGGGTTGGGGTATTGAAATTACTAACTGATTATGTATTTTCCTTTTTCTCCAATTAACTGTGGGTCTAAATTGATGCATTGAATTGATTATATTAATTGCCCTGTAAATGATATGTGGGAGCACATCCAGCTTGCGCTAAAAGCACTGTACTGGCTGCCTATAGCATACCGAATTTGGTTCAAGGTGCTGGTTCTTACCCTTAAAGCCCTATATGGTCAGGGGCCTACATACCTAAGGGACCGCCTTTTTCCCCATGTTCCCCAGAGAGCACTACGATCGGGGTCCCAAAATCGTCTGGCCCTTCCAGGCCCCAAGGAAGCCAGGCTGGCTGTGACGAAGGCCAGGGCCTTCTCTGTGGCAGCTCCACACTGGTGGAATGAGCTCCCGGAGGACATCAGGGCCCTGCAAGACCTTTTACAGTTCTGCA